GAATGAAACACAGGTAGTATTGAGATCATATTTTGTACCCCCGTCTCTTAAAACTCGAACGAATGTACAAATATATTTTTGAATGTACAAACTCGAACGAATCTAGTGTTTGAACATTATGTTTATTGACTTGAGCGGTGAGTTGATGTGAGGTCCTCTTTATAGAACATGGTCGACTGCACTAAACTCTTTCAAAATTATCCAAATTTTATGAGATGGAAAATTGAAAAGGTTAAAAGTTTGAGAGAGTCGGATCGGAATGAGTAAATTTGAAGGGGTTTATAGCCAGTCGACCCATATAACATTGCTTGGGTTAAAAAATTCATTAATATCAAGTATATATATAAAGCTTGGCATATCAAAAAGAAGAAGTATGTGTCAAAACTGCTTTTTAATTAGTCAAAATATTCTTCGAGCTAAGAACATTTGCTAAAAATAAAATAAGTAGATAGAATTTGGAGATAATTAGTAAAACAACTTTGGAAAGTTTTTAAAAGATATTATAACCATCACAAAAGTTTTTTATTACAAGAATGTCATTATGAATTTATTTTAAAAAAAAAATCTAAATATTTATGTTCGAAACCGCGGCCGTGGAGACTACGGAGGCGCCGAATACGCGCTCGACAGAGGTGTGCCACCGAGATTTAGGTAAAATCAGATTAAAAATCAAAAGTTGAAAAAAAAAACTCGAAATCTTTTGATTTTTGGTTAGAAAAAATATATATGATGTTAGATCTACTAGTTTTATGCTAAATCTGGTTGAAAACAAATTAAAATATAGTAAGAACAAGCTAAAAGGTTTTGGCGGCCATAGTTAGGGTTTGAGAGAAGCTGGATCGTGTAGAGAAGATGAACTAGAAATTACGATTTTACCCTTTATTGAATAACTCTACCACTACTATGAATAAGTCTACCAAATATTATAAATCCACCACTATTATAAATAAGTCTACGATTGCGCGAACCATCAATAAGTCTACCGATCACAAAATTAACTCTACCACTACTATAAATAAGCCTACCACATATTATAAATCTACCACTACTATAAATAAGTCTACGATTACGAACCATCAATAAGTCTACCGATCACAAAATTAAATCTACCAACCAAGAATTTAAGTCTACCATTGAGGAATATAAATCTACCACAAGTAATTAGTCTACCATCACATACAAATAAATCTACCACTCAATAATAAGTCTACCGAGATAAATCTACCATTCGACTAATAAGTCTATCACTCAGAAATAAATCTATCACTATTGACGTTAAGTCTACCACTCCAAAACATCTCTACCACTAAATAAAAATAAATCTACACAATAATTCTAGCATTCAAATATTAACTCTACCATTCGTCGATTAAATATACGGACTTGAATTAAGTCTACCAACCACTTAATAAATCTACCAGTCGTAAAACAAATCTACCATCACATGAACGATAGACTTATTCGATGGTAGATTTATTCGCTTTTGACGGGAAAATCTTTGCTGCCTCATTAATGGCAGTTTCGTAAATACGTTTTTTGTCTTCAAAGCAGATAATGCTAAAACGGATACAAAAGGTTGTTGAGTAATATTCAAATATGAGTATCATTTTGGTCAAAAACCAACTTTCCAAGGTTGTTATTTAACAATTAATAATAAAATAGAGATAAAAAATGTTTGGAATATTATTCTTTTGTTAACTTTCATTGGTTTCTAAAAACTTGATGTTAAATGTTTGGAATTAAAATACAATAATAACAAGATCTTAAATTGATGTTAAGAGTAAAATTCTAATAAAATCTCTCTTTTGGTTTTTTTTCTTGTTTCGCTATCGTTTCTTTCTGTTGACGTACA